TAAATAATTCATACAAAATATATGCAACTATTTCGAACATCATTGTGCCCTTATAAGATTTTGTTTTCCAATTTTTTGTTCAGTTCAGTAGTTCAATTTTCATGGTGCGAGTGTGTGTTTTGGGTTAATTTGATAAAAATCAATTAGTTTTTTGTTTAAAGTGTAACATTTATTTTCTTTCATTTGGTGATTAGTTTTTTGTTTAAGACTTAAATTTTAGCATTATTTTTTAATATGCAAGTGATTTCAAACTATAGTGCAAACAAACCAATGATATTGTGCAACTTGGAGATATATATATTACAAATTAATGTGTTGTAAGTTTGAGCGATAATATTCAACAATGTTGGCATTAATATGAATTTAACTGTTGTCGGATTCACATTTATGCTTTTTGTATACCAATGATTACAAAAATGAAAATAAAGGATGAAATTACAAGTAATCTACCGAAATTTGCATAATAGATTGTACTAAAATAGGAATGATAAACATCCATACTGTTATAAATAGTTTGTATGGTATGGTGGTTAAATTAAACCCACCATCACCAATAATATATTTTATTATTAAATAATGTATGTGAATGACTATTTTGCTATTGATGTAATTGTATTATTACGGTTGTGCCATCAAAAGTTTTCCTATAAATAAGAGTTTCAGTTATAATGAAAATACAACCAAGAGAAAACATTCTCTATATTCTCTCTATTTCTCTCTTGTTTTATAACACGTTATCAGCACAAGCGCTCTACCCGGTCAGAAAGGTAAGATGATATTATTAAATTTACTTATGAATTACTACCTATTAAGAAAATAATTTGAAGTTATAATAAAAATACATAATATTATTACTTGTAATTAACACCACAGAATGGTTTACCTAGTAGTGTGGAGTGAAATTTATAACTACTTATTACTGTACTCACCGAAAGAATTATCGAGTAGTGTGGAGTGACATTTTTATTTGTTTTGTTACTTGTATTTACTAAAAATATTCACCTAGTGACTCGAAGAAATTCTAAAATAATATGCATGGTTAATTATATTTTTATAATCATGAATGAATATTATATGAATAATGTGTTTTTATATAAAAATAAATAAAATAAAAAATCCAACGACTATTTTACAACGGCTATTTATCAATCTATATATATATAACACTTCACTTCATGTATTAATACTCACTCCAAAATATTACAATATATTCTCCTCAATAAAAAAAAAATGTTTGATCTATTATTTACAATTACCATTATATTGGTTATTATATACGCTTTAGGAATTTTTACGATGTTGACTGCTGAGTTTATATTTTATGTATTAGGTTTTTTTTAATGTGTTTCTTATTAGCCGTTCTAATTGCTTTGAATAATGAATGATTGGAAAAAAAATACAACTCAGATCCTCAATTCTCTCGCGACGAAAAAACCCCAATCTCTTGCAGGTCCTCTTCTTCACGGTGAATCCGCCTTCCTCGGCGACGGAAAAGCTCGGCTAGTGGTCGTCCTCCACCGTTCCCCCCCCCCCCTGGCGAAGCCCCCATTTTTTGCTGCTTCAGATGGCCCATTGACGGGGAGTCAAGTTCTCGGTTGCAGATGGAGTTACGGACGACGGTGGTGCACCTCGAGGTCGAAGTAAGGCTGGCGATTGGAAGCCTCCTTTCAGTCACCTGAGGAGCTGAGATTTGTGACGGTAAACTATCTCTTCTATCTTTGTCCGCGTATGCCAGATTTGGCTGTTTCTGCGGCACTTCACTTTTCCGGTGGGTACTGCCGCTTGTCGTTGGTTGTCCGTGGTGGTGAAGGGTGGG